AACAGAGCAAACGACCTGAGACCAAAGACAACACAAAGAAAAGGAGCTGCCAACATATAACTAACCGGTGTAATAGATGTGCTCCGAGAAAGTCGCCAACAACAGAGTGAGTGGCAGCTGGTAACCCAACCCAGATGTAGAGCACAGGAAATGAGGAGACTGAACACAAAACCTAAAGGAACCGTTCAGATCTTTTGAGGGCGAGTTCTGTGGAGTTGTTATCAATACCATCTCACCTGGAGTAGATTTAAAATAATTTAGAAAATCAGGCAGAAATTTTCTTGAGGAAGTCAAGATAGCAGACTAATATCATCTTTTCATTAAATAGTTATTTTATATAAAGTCTGTGGAAAGCGGTCTAAAATCCAAAAAATGTTTGGGATATTCAAGCAATATTTATTTTAATGGGTTTTGTAAATCCCTCTGTGAACTTTATAGGCGTGGAGCTGTTTCAAGTCTGCTTTGGAACTGGTCTTGCTCAGACTAGCTGTTGTCTTGTCTCTGCTGAAAAGAATAAAAATCCACCTGATTTCCTAAACTGACAATACCAAGAGCCTTGTCTCCTTCTGGTAAACTGTTATTACTAATTACAACTACACAAAGCACCACCTAAAGATTTAAACTGTCCCTTTAAGTAAAAAAAAAAAAACTATAAGAGACAGCACCGCCTTACAATTTGGCTCCTCTTATTGATGGCTAATAAATAGTTTAAAGATAAATTATTAGTTCCTCTATAAACACTTTATAAATCATTAATAATTGCTTATTATGCATTAATTAAAGGTGACAGAGACAAAACTGATCAGCTTGTTGCCAAATAGTGAACCAAATCTGTTCACCTATATATGTCATCTAGAGTTGTTATATTAAATATTTCAGACTAAGTTACTACCCTGTAAACACAATAAACATTTGTAAACCTATTTCTTTATTATATAATATTAATTGTAGGTACTTATAATGCAGTGACAAAGTACAATATTATATGCTAAAAATATTATGTTTACAAATTGTGTTTACAAGGTAGTAAGTTAATGTGAAATGTTTAATATAACAACTCTAGATGAAATAAATAGGTGAACAGATGTGGATCACTATTTGACCCGAAACTGCTCAGTAGTGTCTCTCTGTCACCCTTAATTAATGCATAATAAACCATTATTAATGATTTATAAAGTGCTTATAGAGGAATTAATGACATGTCTATAAACTTTTTATTAGTCATCTATAAGGGGAGTCTTATTGTAAAGTGGTGCCAAGAAACAAAAGAACTACAAGTTAAAAATGGACAAAAGGAACCTAAAGGAAAACAAATCTCACAAATTATAGCTATAAAAAAATATATGTTTTTAATCAAATGTGAGATTTGTAATTGGCATGATTGTTTCAGAGAACACAGGAAGTACCTCTGGCTGCACTGAAAGTGCCACAGCTAGCTGCTGCTGCCAGTTTTTGCACTTGCAAACAACCAATTAATTCCATGTAAATATCTGTGAAAAGCAAAGTTGAAGGAAACAAAATAAAAAAAAACGTTTGCACAAAAGAAAATCTAGTGCTATTAAATGTTTGAAGTTTGAGTTGTTTCAAGACAGCAGCAAACCCACTGTGTCCCATGGATTGTCTTAGTTCTGGTTCTGTCCAGATCTACTTGTTATCTCGTTCTTCTAGTGAAAGTTCAACTCTGTTTCTTTAAACTGAGGATGCTCAAGGAGCTGTTTACAACAGAGTGTTATTTTTTTATAAATTATTACGCAACTCCACTTTAAAATATCTGAACAATCATCGTGAGGCAGAGTTGTTTTTAAGCCCTGAAAATAAAATGTGAATTATTTCCTATTGTGTAATAGCTATAAAATAACAAAATCCTGTAATAAGTGTGAAAGTTTAAACATTATTTTAAAAATATATAGATTTCTGTGCATCCAGTAATTAGCTTTGCATCACCAAGAAACTGTTTAATTTGCATGTGGATGTAAAAATGATGTACAGTTGTCAGTTTTTCATTTTGTTTTATTTTGAGGTGTGACAATATACAGAATAAAGTCATAAAAGTTGAGGGTGTTCGCTTTATCAGAGGAAAGAAAAGAGGGGATTTCATCCCAGCACTCCATGACCTTAATCTGCAGGATTATGCCATCACAAAGTTCACGCCAGGATAACTCTGCCCGTCTACATCCACAAACTTATTAGCAGGTGTATTTGTTCATTTCTTCTTTCTGTGTTTTAGTGACCACTGTGGTTTCTTTTGTTTGCCAACAGAGGGGTGAATGAGTTTGGCAGCTCTGGTATTCAGGGCCACATGTGCGGCAGCAGCCGGCAGATGAAAAGGGAGGGATGTGCCTGTGAGTTAAACGCTAAAGCCGCTTGGGTCAGATGAAGACAGCTCCCAGGCTCTCTGCCAATCGAGGCCCAGCCAGCAACCCACTCTCACTGACAGGGCAGGACGAAGGTGAGTTAGGTAACACGAACGCCCCACGTCTGTGCCGCCCACAGCAGGAAACACGTAAAAGTAAATCTCTACATGAAAATTAAGCTGTAGTTTCAACAGAACGAAGCTGCAACATTTTTTATTTTTTATTTGTAAAATCAAGGAGTCCTCCAGTTTCAAATTTGAAAAAAAAAAAAAGGCAACCTAATTCGTTTATCTAACTAACCAGATTTGACCTTTTCAGATGAAGACTATGGATGAGGTAAGAAAGTAAAGATTGTACATAAAATGAAGTGATTTTAAGTGTAACCAGTGCCTCCTAGTGTACATACAATATACAGTACAGAACATGCAGTATATTAATAAACAAATAATAAACCTGAGTTCTCTCCTTTTTTCCCCCCACATGGGCGGTTCCACTTCAAGCTCTGGTTCTTTACCAGACGCCTGGGAATTTGAGGGTTCTGCTCAGTATCTTAGGACTGGGCTCTTCTGGACAGAGATCTGAGGTTGTTCCTGGGATCTGTTGGAGCCACTCTTCCAGTTAGGGTGTCACAGCACTGGAACTACTGATGCTTCGACTCTACACAACTTTTTTCAGTCTTTCTCCTCCTTAGATGGCATTAGTCTGTCCTCCTGCTCTAATGTTAAAAATCTTTGTGTTATTTTTGATCAGGACATGTCTTTTATCCCCCACATTAAAAACGTTACTAGAACCTCCTTCTTCCACCTGAGTAATATCACTAAGATTAGAAACATCTAAAAATGATGCAGAAAAACTGCTCCATGCATTTGTCACATCTAGACTGGACTATTGCAATGGTTTATTATCTGGGTGTCCAAATACTTCTTTAAAACGTCTTCAGTTGATCCAAAATGCTGCTGCCAGAGTCTTAACTGGAGTTAGTGGGAGAGATCATATTTCTCCAGTTTTAGCTTCTCTCCATTGGCTCCCTGTCAAATACAGAACTGAATTCAAAATCTTACTTCTAACCTACAAAGCTCTCAACAACCTAGCTCCATCTTATATTAAAGATCTTATTGTTCCATATTTTCCTAACAGAGCACTTCGCTCTGACTGCAGGTTTACTCGTGGTTCCTAGAGTTTCCAAAACCAGAATGGGAGGCAGAGCTTTCAGTTATCAGGCTCCTCTCTTGTTGAACCAACTTCCAATCTCTGTCCGTGAGGATGACACATTTTCCAGTTTTAAAACTAGGCTAAGACTTTCCTTTTTGCTAAATCCACTGGTAGGATTTGTTGATATCCGCAATTTGCTTACTGGGGCTTATTTTTCCATGATGGTATTGGGTATTGGGTTATTGCTGTCAGAGACATTAACTTAGTAGTTTATCTGGGACCTTAGTTGGTTTGTCCTACAGTACTGACACACAGCAGTCCTCCACCTCCCACTGTTCACTCAGTGTACACATATATTCCAGTGACGTGCAGTCAGGGAGGCAGGTGAGGCAGTGCCGCACCTGTCATCATGACAAGTAAAATACTAGCAATGATGAGAAAATACATTTAACCACTTGACTGTTCTATAAAACTGTTTTCCAAGTTATTTCAATGCTTCAGTGGTCTAAATTGCAGAATTTACACATTGCCTGTTCAAACATGGAAGAAATGTGCAGGGCGAGTCAGTGTAGTGCTCTGGTTCACCCCTGGTGGCTTGTGTCATATACAATATATGAGGTAGGCAGTTGGAGCATGCTCATTGCTGTCTCTCTTTTTATCGCCAATATACATGTTTGATTACACATGTGCTACACTTGCTGATGTTCTATAGTCGGTCTAATATAGTGAATGAATGTGTGTGACATTTCTTCTTTCTAGTCGGTCATAAATGCACAATAATAATAATAATAATAAATTTAATTTGTAACGCACTTTTCATTAACAAAAATCTCAAAGTGCTACAGAGGGCAACTAAAATCAATGATAAAATCAACTAAAATCAATGATAAAATCAACTAAATTCAATGATACAATCATGTGGAGGCAGAATAGGCTTGCTTAAAAAGAAAAGTCTTTAAGCCTTTTTTAAAGTCAGTCAATGATTGTGGAGCTCTCAGATAGTCAGGGAGGGAGTTCCAGAGGTGGGGGGCAGCCACACAGAATGCCCGATCTCCCATGGTCCTTAATTTAGTTCGTGGAAGATGGAGGAGATTACTGTTCTGTGATCGTAGGGACCGGGTGGATGAATATGGAGCAGGAAGGTCCTTCAGATAATCTGGTGAATTTCCGTATAAACACTGATGGTGATGAGAGCAATTTTGTACTGAATTCTGTAGATGACAGGAAGCCAATGGAGGTTATGGAGAATGGGTGTAATATGTTCAAATTTATGAGCTCTCACAATCAAAATGCACAGGGGTGAGGCAGAAAGTACCGTGCCTCACCGATAGGAGGCAGTGCTGCCCCATAGGGACAATGAAACGTCGCTGTGTGTTCTTCTGTTACACAGAGGGGTGGGGGTGGAAGATCATATCTCAAAACTAAATAATTTTTCTAAACTCATCATAATTTTTCCAGACTTATTCGTCTTAAAATAAAGGTAAGATAATACATGTTTTTTATTTGTTTGTTTGTTTGTTTTTGTTTTTTTTAAAGAGAGTAGTATGGAGTTGATTAAAGCATAATTAGATGCCTTTTTAAAAGGAAAAAAGCTAAATTGAAATATAAGCTTCTATTTTATGTGAGCATCCGTTTCCAGATGAGTCAGCCTCACCTGTCACAAACCTCTCCGCACGTCACTGATATATTCTATATATTACCATACCATACCACTTTATTTATAAAGCACTTAAAACAGCTACAAGGCCAACCAAAGTGCCGTACAGACAGAACAACAGGTAACACACCAAGAAAAATACAAAATGAGGTAAATCAGAATATAGACATAAAAACGATGCAGGTAATGATGACAAACCAGAGTGGAGCATCCAGAATCAAGACACAGATCATCTGGTGTTGAAAGCTACTGAATAGTAGTGAGTTTTTAAACGGGACTTGAAAACCGAGAGGGAGGGGGTCTGTCTGATAAACAGAGGTAACTTGTTCCAGAGTCTTGGTCCTGCTACAGAGAAGGCCCTATCACCTCTGCGCTTAAGACGAGTTCCTGGAACTCTGTGAGGAGCAACTGGTCCGCTGACCTCAGGGAGCGTGGTGGGACACACGGTTGTAGCAGATCAGAGAGATGGGGGGG